TATTGATCTATTTCATCTGCTTTGATCTAAAAGCTTATAAATATCTTCTTGACATTCTCATGATGATCAAAGTAAGTAGAAACGATGAAGTAAAATTTCCTTCTTAATTTATTGATCTGATACTAGAATTGTACAACATCCGAATAAGAATAAGAACAACAAGAAAGGACAATTCTAAAGGAAACAATGAAAGAAACGTGACTAATTTTAACTACTTAACTAGTACGTAATAGAAAAACTCTTATTAAGCTGATCTCGATCCATGCATGTAGAAAAAGAAGGAAGCATGCTTGAGTAGTTGATCTGAATGCTTAGTGATGGGGATCTGAAAGTGCGTAACTACTTTGTGAGATGGTCTATAGGTGACAACTTCGGAACATTGGGTACTGGTGCAACCACAACTCAATGCTTAAGCCGGGACTCCCAGAGACTAGTCTTTGAGCTATGAAATAGTGGACTCCCCTGACGAGATCATATTCCATCTTGTGCACAACTATAGGAGAAGTCCGGTCCCAAGATTTGAATTCAAGATCACTGCTGATTTCTAAGACACTGTCGACTTCTTTGCTGTATATATTCAAAAAGGAGATTGTCCCCAACATGAAATTGATTTCTCCTCACTCCACTTGCAATAGAAATCACTATCGTCGATGCAGTCAGAAATCCGTAAGAATAACAAGCGCTAAACTAGAATAAAATTAAGTTGGCCAAACCGAAAGAATAAAACTATGAAATCCACCAAAAAAGAGTTTGAAAACTACCAAAAAGGAAAAATAATCTCAACTTTATTAATAAGAATGATAAGATATGCCTGGAGGCTACAATAGTTTCCTTTTATATTGGGTTTTAGGTTACCTTTTTAGGGTTTGGTCTTAGTATTTAAAGAAAATAATCAAGAAATAAATATAAAAGAAACGCTTTTTCAACGCCTCCTGCATCAATAATGCTAGGTGGTGGTGGAGGAATCGGACATGACGGGTCATGGACGACAAGAACCTTGAGTTTCTGTCGTCCGAATGGGCATCCATCATCTTTTGGGTTGATGAAGTAGTGATAACCTGGTTCCGTTAGGGTTACGATATCGTGTCCTGTCTTGTAGACGGCTTTAGGAGAAGAAGAGTCGCAAAATTCGTATTCCAAAGCTCCGGAGACTTGAATGACGTCGTTGAAGTTGTGATCGTATGCAAAGACCAAAGAATCTCCGACATGAAATTCCTTATCCTCGGCCCACCAATCGTAATATGTGTGGTCGTCCTTAGGAATCCATCCATCGGAGTATCCGACTTTGTACATAGTCGCCGAGCAGCAACACAATAGAACCGTGAAAGTTAACACCAAAACAAAGCCAAAGGTCTTCGTTATTGTTGTGGCCATGATGGTATATGAACACATCCAGAACCGAAGAAGAAAGGTTATTAGGTTTAGAACGTGTGAGGGAGAAAGAAAGGAGGGCACACGTCCTTATATGCGAATCTCTAATACTGCTTGCCTTTTTAGGATTTTATGTAGTACTCTATTTCCTTTTCCAGATTTATGGAAATAAGGCTACACATCTTTTAAAAAACTCTTTTCGCTACACAGAATCAAAATTGTATAATGTTGTGTTTGTTATTTCAAATAATAAATTGAATTTCCGTTGTATGAAATAGTATATTTTTTAGGCAATAAGATAATTTAAACATAGTGCACGTTGAAACTAAGAGTATAATTATAGGTAGTAAATATATTGGGGGTAATATATGAATTTTATAATATTAATTGTATTGGGATTAATGA